CTCATGGAGCAGCTGGTAGATTTGATCCCTGTGTCTTCAGATTTGCAGCACAGTTTTTCTTACCACTGTTTGTCAACCCAAAGATCTCAAGCAGAAAGTTCATTACTTTAGTCAGGAGAACAGCATAAGGATAGACAGTTTCCTTCCTAATTAATATTTTTTTGTAGCAGTGAACGAAAAAAAGTTCAATATTTTTTAATGTTTTAAATGTTCTTATATTTTATGCCTTTTTATTAATTTATTATTGATTCATATATCTTTAATATATGTAGCTTTCTTTACTTACTCATTACATATTTAGTTAACTTTAAAGTGCCCAGAAAGACTCATTCATTATTCAGTATCCTAGAACTGGAAGTTACCATTTTCATCACTGTAAACCCCAAACCCCACTGACGTCAAGGTGACTTATGCTGATTAAGTCATGATGACACTCTGTTAGATTTCAGAGGCAGGAAACCTTTAAGGAAGGACACTGCTGATCTTTTTAAAAAGTCTCAAATATGCATGTTGTGATCCCAGTCTTCTCCACTATATATGCTTTAAAAGTTGTTGTTGTTATGTGCCATCGAGTCATTTGCAACTCATAGCAACCCTGTGTACAACAGCCCTAAACCCTGCTCCACATAACAACAACAACATACTAAATATTTTATGCTCTGCCCCAATGCCTAATTTACTTCGGATCACAAAGCTGAATCTCATTGTAAGGCCCTGAAGTCATCTAAGCCACCTGATATTTGTAAGACTAATGGTGATTTGGGAACAGCCTCGGTTCATATGAGTTTAACCCACATCCCTACTTGAACTGGCAGCATGAGAGACAGTTGTTACAAGACAGAACTGACCTATAGCTGACCCTCCAGTGGGTTTTCAGAGACAGTAAATCACACGAGAGGAGACTGCACGTCCTTCTCTCATGGAGCAGCTGGTAGATTTGATCCCTGTGTCTTCAGATTTGCAGCACAGTTTTTCTTACCACTGTTTGTCAACCCAAAGATCTCAAGCAGA